ACAGTCTCCAAAGACTGGCTCATTCCTTTGAATGCAGCTGGGCTGTCTCCTCGTGCCTATGGGGGTAGACTGATGATAATCTTCTAAGAACCTTGGAAAGCCGAGCTTTTCCCAACCTTTCTGCCCCCCCCTTTTTTTGAAGCTCAGCCTGCCCTTCCAGGGTTGCTTCCCATCTTATCACCACATGTCCTCAGATGTGCAAATGTAGGTCCTTTTTCGTTCGAATCCAGGAAATGAGAGCAGCAGACCTCTGCTCTTATTATTATTACTGTTACCCAGCAATGCAAAAAGCACTGCACAAGGTTTTGCGCTCCAGTTCCCTTCTCTGCCAGGGAGTGAGTGAGCTTGTGTGTGTACCTGTCTTAAAACATAGTGAAGTAGCTCAGCCTTTCTTAAGAAAGTGGTTCTCGAGAGGATGGCAAGAATATTTCTCGTATTCCATTAGTGCTTTTCCTTGTTTTCCACATGGCAGTGGAAAACTCTTCCCTGCTCCCCAAGAGGGGAAGGTGATTCCAGCTCTGTTCTGGCATCAGCTGTTTCATGCTTCCCCTTTTGGAACTGCCTTTTTGCAAACATGGACCAAGTGCATTTTCTTTGCCTTTCTTTCTGAAAGCAAAATTTATAAACAGCCATTTTTTGTTGAGATGCCATTAAATATTGCTAAAAACCTCCATGATAGTGTTCTCTGTGTGTGTGTTTTTTTAAGGTATTTTAAAAAATTGGTTTGGTTAGACACAGAAATTAGATGCCACTCTGTTCGTTCATTTGGAAATCTGTTTTCTGATTCTTAGCAACTCAATTACTTTCATTGTTATACTTGAGCAATGTTGTCTTTAAAAAAAAATCCTAAGTGTGCCAGAAGAACACTCTCAGTAGCACGAGGAAGTTTTTGGCACAACTGCCACCTATAGCAATGAGTGTTTTGGCGCTCTGCAGCCATCTTGGGCAAGAGACATAGAACATACTTTAAAAGTAAGGCCAAGACACTGCACTTTTTGTTGCACTAAAATTGGCCCCCACTTCCTTTTGTTTCCAGGAAAGAGACTTCAGTGCTATACACCATTTCCCTTGTTCGTTTTTTCCCCCACCTATACTGAGTGTAGGTGGGAAACTCAATTGGGCTATGGCTATGTTGTACTTACTACAACTTCCCTCTTGTATGTAGATGATGCTGTTTTGGTTATGAACAGATAATCAGAGAATGAGTTTACTGTTCAGGTAGAGAAAGGGAAAAGAAGAAGTACATCAGAGTTTACATAACATGCAAAACCAAAACCCTAAACCATATTTTGGCTTGGCTTGTTATGTGAATTCAACCAATTAAGAGTTATTCAGTATACAATGATTAAGCAAATTTTGTCTGAGCATATTGTATTAATCAGGGCATTGTCTAACAGGAACATTGTGGGGAGTTTATAGTCCAAATACCACCATACAGAATACTTTTTAGAAATCCTGGTGAAAACTCAGCATCACTATTTTTAAGTATCTGGAGATTGGCACCGAGTCTTAGAAACTGGGAGCCAATTTACTGCTTTTTGCAACTGGGAACAATGGCAAGGTACTTGCCCCAGCATTCCTGTTAGATTTTTATAAACTAGGTGTGGTCTCCCTAAAGAGATCACCGTCACTTGAGATTAGGGTTACCACATCTGTTCTGTAAAACTCCAGATGACCACCAGATGGCAGCCATCAGCCCTAAACCAATAGCCCTAATGGCTACCACAATTTGTCAACTTTTATGGGCCCATGGCAACAGGCAATTTTAGTTGGTTAGAGACACATTCTTGTGGACAACGAAGCATTCATCCACATCACAGCTTTTGCAGTGAAGATACCACTTGAATTGATTGCAAGCATGTAGAATTCAGCCAGCGAAAGTAAGTATATGAAACAACCATGGATTAGTAGCACCAAGAACTGGTTTTTAAAGTTCAGAAAAAGCATCTAGCATACCTTTCACTTAACAAATACACATTCACAACTTGTGGCCGGCTTTGGAGGAATGGTAGTTGTTTAAGACAGTCTTGCCTGCCAGAAGGACCCTGCACACGGAAAGCCTGGGCTAATATAACATCATGCCACTATAGGTGCTGTTGCTGGCAACACGTGCTTTAATTATTAAACCCCTCTACTTGCTCATCTAGCTTTCTTCATGAAAGTAACTGCTGCTACAAGGGGGGGATTCCAATGCATAATTCTACCCTACCCTGGTACAATTCTGTAAGGTCCAAACCCTGAGGGAGGAAGGACAGCACAAGCAGAAGATTTGGATGCTGGAGAAATCCAGCTCGCTTTCTTTTGAACTCAGAAGATGCCATTTCCTTAATGCTTCAAGCCTTCATCCAAATAGATGCCAGATAGGGGCAGGTAAATTAACCTGTTCATAAAAATGGGACCCAGAGGGCACAAAACTAGTGACAACATACAGAAATAAGCTTAGTTGGGGTGCTAAATTAACAAACTATCTGGGTACTTCATGTGAACCAAAAGCCACAATGTGCAATAAAAATGCTTAAGTAAGTTGTAAAAAAGCACATTCTCCTAAACAGTGAAGCAAACTCCCAATGAGAAGGGGGTTGGCTGCAGCTGGCTGCGTTACTGTGCTTGGTCCCTCCCACTCAACGCCTGTTCCAGTTCCCATAATCTCCCATCTGGAAGAACCAAAAGGCATGCTGGCTAGGGGACAGTTGGGAGCTGAATTCATGACATCCAGAGGGGGACAGCTGAGGAAAGCTCACAAGTGTTTCCAGTTAGCCCTTGCAGCCACAGCTCTTCCAGAAAGAAGAGCTGGACCACTCTGGTCCTCCTCTGCTTCAGGTACTTTTCTGCTCCATAAACTAAATCTGCCCACCCAGAGAAAGCTCTCCCCCACCCCCTTTTATTATTTTTTTAGGATGTCCTCATAGGCTAGAACAGGATCCAGAAATTTCAGCCTTTCCTGCTTCACCGGGTTTGCACACCTAGCATTTACAAAGTTGGAGTACAAAGAAGGTGGTGCCATATCTTGGTGGAGGTTATGCAGGCCCCAAACTGGTTTTTTTTTTTTACAAAAGCTTTGCAATGCTCAAGAAGTCAAGAGCTGGCATCAACAGCCCAGCTGGTTTTTCTTGTGGAAATAGTCCAACATTCTTAAAGGAACAGTAATAAAGGCCAACTTATTTTAGTTCCTTTGGGGCTGGGTAAAATGGGGCAGTCTTAACTTCCATCAGGATAGGAAAGAAAGTGTTGCACAAAGGCTCTATACTTAGGCTGTTCAACAGTCACTTAGTTTGCCCTGGCTTGTTTTACTTTGGGGGATGGGGGGAATAAGCCATGGTGGTTGGTTCTAACCTGTGTAGCTGGAACTACAAGTACTGTATTACTTGTTTCCGCACTAGACCCGCCCTCATACAACTGAGCCATTTGCTCTTATATGAGCAGCTACCTTGGGGAAGGAGAAGAAGGCACGCAACTTCCCAGCTGAGCAGCAGCCAAGTCTGATGCATCATCTACTGTGAACCATTACAGCTGTTCCTCTCCTGATTTTGCTGAAGAGAGTTTTTTCCTCAGCAGAAGGAAAGCACTGGGGACCAGCCCACATTCCTCCAGGCTCACAGCATCGTTGTTATACACCCGAAGGGGAAATGTGCTGAGGATCTCATATGGCTCCACCGCTTCACCCCTAGAAAAGAGTAGAACAGGATCTGTAAATGCACTCACTTCACACCTGCTCAACTTTTCCAGTCCAATGACCTTTCTGAATTCAGATTTTAAAAATAATGTTTTTAAACATATAAAGATAATGTTTTACTTAAAAAGTCAAATACTCCAGAATTACTTAATCAGTTTGAGGGGAAAAGAGTATGAGATCAATAGAACCCTTTAATGCCACCTCTCTTCTGCATGTCAATTTTCAAGTAATACCATTGCCTTTTAGAGAATTGCTGTCAAGTAGCCCAGTTTCAGAGAAAATGCAACTTTATTTGTAGAAGGGAAGGCAATTTATTTCCAGTCAGTCATCAAGCAAGAGAAATAATACTGTGTCATTGTAGGCACATGTAAAGGAAGAAAAGAGGACAGCAGACCATCCTTTAGACAGGAGGCTCGCTTAACAAGAGAGATCATGAGATTCATGCAAAGTCAGGCCAGCCAAAGAGGTTGGGGCAACAATCAGACAATGGCTAGTGCTTTATGACACTGGCTGAGACCCTTGTGGACCAGTATAATCAATCCTAATGTCTCAACAGGACAGCCATAGTTACTGGATTTGAAAGCAAATAGGCCTCCAGGCATCCCCCCAACCTAACACTACCCAGATGAGTTGGGCTTACATATCCAAGAACCTCTTTGGCTAGGCTGCAGTTCCAAGACATTAGGAAAATTTGAGGAACCCAGATCTCCACCCATGGCAAATCACTAGCCTGAAGAATAACACTTTGTAAATAAATGCCCTGTACCATCCTCCAAATTTGGAAGCCTTTATTTTAGCCCCTGGTCAATGAACATGTATTCCCCATTCCCACTCTATAGAGTCCATGAATATTTCTGTCTTTGCATCACCCAAGTCTTCTGATTCATGACTGAAATGTAGAGCTTCACAGATTGCACCAACCACTTAAGTTTCAGGATGTGACAGGAACAGACTTAATTATTTCTACTTGAGTCTGCAGTGCTCACAGAAATCTGACAGCCAATCAAAGCTTGCCCTTCTTGGCCAAATGATGAGCAAATGATATCTCAGCCAACCAATGCTCAGCTCTTAATCAAGACCAGAGGACATTATCCCACCTCCTCAGTTTCATGCTGAAAACAAATCCCCTTCCCCTCTTCCCAAAATAGGAGCCACAGTAAAATCCCACCATTTATTTGGCGTATCTTCTAATGTGACAGTTCTCTATTTTGGCCCCTTTCCCTTGTCTTGCTCACAAGCCAGAATGCCAGGACACCAGGGGCTGGATCATGGCATGACCTAGATGACCTCTGCAGCAGCTGTAAAGGTCATCCTGTGCAACCCAAGAGTGGGGGAGACAAAAAACAGCTGCTTCTGCAGTATCATCTATTGCTTGGAAATGGGTATTTCTCATTCTCCCCAAATCTTGTGACTGCAGGGAGAGGAAGCCAGAACATAGTGAGATGGTTAGTGCTCAGGAACAACACAAACTAAGCTGTGGGAGACTCAGTTTGCTGCAGGCATGGGTCTGAACTCATGCTTAATAAAGGCTCCTGAGGCTCCCACTGGGAACTTATGCTTTATTTCTTGAGATTACAGTTGGCAAATCAGAAGTTTAAAGTACTAAAATAGGGACAGAGTTTGTTCTTCAGTGCAAACCAGCATTTGCCACATTTATCATCCTTCTCAAATCTTGCTGCAACCATCATTCTTCCTACCTGTTCTGAGCAAGATGTTGGCGTAGGTCTCCAATAGTCTCTGTGAATGACATTTTGACAATGTATGTCTTTTCTCCATCCTCTGACTTTATCCGAAGAGTTGAAATGTTGGTGTCAGACACCCCTTTCATTTGTTTTTCTTCCAGTCTAAGAGTTAAAGAGAGATGATGATGATAACCATGACTTCTTTAAAGAGGGCAGAATAACTTAGGCACGCTGATAGGTGTGATCACCCTTTTTAAAAATATGTAGTCTGTCCTAACATTCTCCAGATGTATTGGGTCTACCAGTCCCAGACAGCACGGCTTTTAGTCATGCTACAATCCCAACAGATATGGACTGAGGAAGGCTGGCATATATTTTCCTTATTCCCCTTATACTGGATGCACTGCTACTGTTCCTGGCACACAAATGTTCTTTTGTATCTCACAAGCATCCACAATCCGTTACTCCAGCCTGCAAAACAGTCTCAGGGAAAGCGGTGGCCTGCACAAGTCTGGGCGGGAGTGGTCACTGGTTTATAAAATATGGGAGACCCCAACTTTCCAGAAGCAGTGGGATCAGTATGGAAAAGGAAGAGAGACCATATATTCGGCTTACTTAACATAGAAGGGGTAGGATGTTGATCCTTGCATGCTAACACCTCAAACTGTTGAGGAAAAGGAGCCAGGTTTTCTTAGAGGTGCCTCCAATTCTTTCAGATGAACCTGTTTGTTTGTTTGACTGATTTATATAAATTGCCCTCTCAAATTGATTGAGGGTGATGTACAGTTCAAAGAAAAATAAAAAAAAATAAAATAAAAATGGACACTAATAAATACAGTATTTCTTTTTCACACACACACACACACACACAAAGATTTTGGCAATCTCACACAAGATTTACATTCTTATAAATTTGGGATATTGGAGGGAATGCATTCGGATCTCCAAACTGATCCATTTAAATCCGCTTTATCTACGCTCACTAGCAACACCATTCCATGGCCTCAAGCAGAAGGACTTCTCCATCATCTATTTCATCCCGTTTTAAGGGAGATGCCAGAATCATATCTAAGAGTGTGAAGCACATACTCTATCACCTAGGATTCCTCGTCAAAACACCAAGGCTAAAAGGTGTTCCTGATTTTACTCTAGCTCACTCCAGGTTTGGATTTCTGCCGTAATCAGACACACTCAAAGGAAGAGAACCAGTGAGGACTGTAGAGGTTTGTTTACCTCTTCCTCATTGCTGCAAGGCTGGGCGTCTCCACCAGAACCACTTCATGGCTTCGTGTTCCATCCAGGCCCTGGAAGCAAAGAGGGAAATGAAGGCCAAATTTTGAATGCCCAAAGGGACGTTCGGCCAGATGATGCGCTTCTGCTCATCCAACCCACACTCTCAAAGATGTGAAAAGAAAGAAAGCTCTCTTTACTAGTACTGTTTAAAAAAGAAGAGGGTTTGGTAATAATTCTAAAAAGCCTTTTGAGATCTCAGTTGTTGTTTTTTTTGGTTTTTGAAGGGGGGATGCAAAATTGAGAGGGGCGACATCCTACCTGCAGAGTTTTTTTAACATCTTCCCGGATATCTATCACTTGCCCATCTCGAACCACTGACTTTGGAAGTTTGTTTAAAAATTGTTCCACTGTGAGCTTGGGACCTGGCAAAAGAAAGGATTTCAGAAGCAAATGCTTTATAGGGTATATGGACAATGAAAGAGCCAATGCTGACATTTTGTTTTAATTAACTTAAATATCTGCACACTTCCTTTCTGGGGAAAATCCTCTCAATTACAGTTGTATTAAAACCACCCACACTCAAATGGGAAGCAGGAGGAGGGAGTGCTATGTATGGCAGCTTGAGCTCCTGAATAAAAATTGGGATATAAATCTAAAACAGAATCACAGAAATTTTTAGTACCAAAGGGGATTCCAGTGGTCACGTGGTCAAACTTGTTCAATGTTATCTACAGCTACTTTTTTTTTCAGCCTTCTTTACTTCTGACTATCATAGCTATCTGCACAAAAGCATCTACTGTAAGTGGACATTTTTGGCAGTACCTTAACTCAATATTCACCTGATGAATGAGAGATACCCAGGTTACAATTAGCATGATATTATCTGGATACAATCAATTTAAGATCCAAGCATAAAAGAAATTGTTCTATGCAGAGGGCAGGACAACCTTTGGGAACCTGGTACCCTCCAGACGTGTTGGCATCTGGAAATTAATGGGAGTTGCAGTCCCCTACACATCTACAAGACATAACAGTGGGGAAGGCTGGTATAAGCTTGAATAGCAGAGATAACTAATAGACGTTCACAGCACTAAACTCAAACACATTTTTGGATCTGCTGAACTCTGAATGAATCTGCAATAAATAGTTACAATCACTGGAGTTGGGTGGCTAATAAATTTTAATAAAAAAAAACAAACCATCACCTGAGATCTCATTTGTTTCCTTTATTCCATTTGGTTTGGAACGCCCAACAGCCTGGCCAAAGCCAGGGAAACACCCCGGCAGCTTCCTTTCCTGAAAGAAGACATCTCTCTTGTCGGTAACCTGTTGAATAAACCCCAGTGCTGTTAAGTACCCTGGTTGATTCCAGACTCCAGAGGTCACTGTTAGATTTAGAAGCAGATAAAATTGGATGTTAGCAGCAATTGCAAATGGGCGATGGAGACACTTCCTTCCTCCTTCTGTGGAAATTCAAAGGAAATAGCCAGCACGCTTCAGACACCAGGTGCATAAAGATGCCTGATAACACCCCATTTTAGGAACCCATCAAGGAGTTGCCATGCACATAATGAACTGAACATTATGCCACAATAAATGTATTGGTCTTTACAAGGGAAGCTACAGAATGACTTTGAATGCAAAGTAAGAAGTGTTACAAGCCAACAATGGCAGAAGTCTAGAAATAATCAAGATACCAAAAGCATTCTCTCCCATTTTTTTAAAAAAGGATTTCTCAGTCATATTTCCAAGACCATATATCACTAGATTTTTATTCTGATACAACCATCAATATTTGAAAACTGAAATTGTAATATTTCTCAGGCACATCTCCAAACAAGTCTCCATGCATTCAATTGAAATTTCTGAGTCAGATGTTTAGCAATGAATAATGATTACTGTAATGTAAACTTGTAGAAAGAGCTTATTCAAAGGGGGAAACATCAGTTTGATTAATTTCTTAATTGTTTTCTTTCACTAGTCTTACACAACCCCAAAACCTGATAAAATCAATGGGATCAATGGGAAATGGCATAGGTCACCCACATTTTTCAGCTACTGTTGAGTGAATGTTTATCTTTCTTTTTCATGTTCTTTTGGGGAAAAAAACCCATGGAAATATGTTCCAGACATTAGAAGTTTCATTTCATAAATAATTATCTGAGAGGTATTTGCAGCAGTGATACCATGATCAACTTGTATCTTGTATGCCACATGCTAGCTATTGCTTTGGCTTCTCCTGAGCTAAGGCGAGATATAACTAAAGCCTTCCATGGCAGAGGTAATATATATTTCCAGGCTGAATACACTTTGCATTCTGGGAAGAAGGGAGATTGCATACTTGGAAGCTTCATTCATTAAAATAAATACACAATAAACTTGCAGCTTAGAGACCAACTGTCATGAGTTCAGTTTGCTGATCTTATGCAAAGGGGCCTTTCTTAGAAAAAGACCTCACTTTGTGCTCTCTACATCCATTGGAGAGACTGGGATAATAGGAGTTGTAGTCCAACACTTCAAGAATGCACCAAAATGCTGGGCTTTGACCTTGCCACTCTGTTTTCACCTGTCTGTGTTTCCTCTCTAGAACTAACCAACCATTCACTTCTACGGCCTACGCCCTAACCCTCAACTGCTAAAGGAGCAGGTGTTTTCCCCAGCAGTCACCCAGCCTAACATGCGCACAGGCTGTTTTAGAAACAGTGGCCCACATTTCACTTTTTTCTACAAGATTTCCCCATGTATCTCTAAATAATGGAAGTTTAAAAATATAATAAAATTACCCCACCCTTGTGTATGAAG